GGAGCCGGGGCGGGGCCGAGCCGAGGATGGGCGGGGCGGGCTCCAGGGGTAGGGGCGGGGCTACACCGAGAGGCAAAGCCAAAGTCACTCTGAAGACCAGATGGGGTGGAACTGCGGCCCGAGGCTCAGGGCTCGGGGCCACAAAGGAAGAAAGGGCCAAAGGCCTAAATTAGGAGGGCGTGGCGAAAGTTGGGGGGCGGGGCCACAGCCCAGCCCAGCCTTAGGAATACCACGGTGGGGAGGGGGCTTTGTCGGAGGCCCTGTCAGTCAAGGTGGGGCGTGAGGGGCGGGGCCAAGTGATGGAGGAGGGAGGAGAAAGAGGTGAGACCTAGAGCAGCGACAGGGCAGGGCCGGAGGGTAAGGCTGCCCCAACAGGCGGTCGCCCGGCGGAGGACTGAGGGTGGGACCGGGGTGGCCTGGCCTTCGGAGCCCGGTCCAGCTTTGGGGGTGGGGGGTGGAACGAGGGATGTGTCCTGAGTGGGCGGAGCCAGAGGTGGCACAGGCAGCGGAGGAGGCCCTGGCCTGGGACGGGTTTAGGAGAGCTAGGAGGGGCGTGGCCAGAGGCCTGAGCGGGCGGACCAGGCTGCCTCCCTACCTGTGTACTGCTGGACTCCGGAGAAGGCAGGGTGCAGCGTCTCGGCCACGGTCGGGCTCTGAGCTGCGGGGCAGACAGAGGCGCTGGGTGGGGCGAGGGCGGCAGGAGTCTTCCGTCCACCCCCATCCTGGACAGCCAGAAAATGAACCCACAGGTATCCGGCCCAGCTTCGCCCTTGGGCCAAACTCTGTACGAGATGACTCTACAGTTTACAGACGAGGAAACACTCAACGCGGGGGAAGTCACTCACACAGGGCCTCTGAGGTAGGAAAGGGCAGAAGCTGGATTGGAACCCCGGTGTCTCAGAGCTCATCCGTCTCCATCCTGACCCCTCATCTCCCAGGAGGACCCTTCCCTGCCCCCGTGTTCTCCGCACTCACCCAAACTTCCCCCTGCAGCCCAGTCGGTATCCAGCCCTGTGCTCCTCTCCCAGCTTTCCCACCGATGCCCCACAGACCCCAGCTGCCACCAGGGGGAGAGGGAAGAGGAGGGAAGAGGTTGCCCAGGCCATCAAAGCTGGGGAGTCTGGGGAAGAATTCAGCCTGATAACTGCTCCAGTGGAGGAGTTACTAGAGGACAGGGGTGATGGAACAATTTTGTATCTTGGGGGCGGAGGGGTACCGAGCAATGAATCCAGAGCCTTCACACTGAGCTACATCACCAGCCCTGTTTTATTTTTTATTTTGAGACAGGATCTCACTGATCATGACATTACCCAGGCTGGGCTCAAACTTGGTGTCCTCCTGCCTCAGCCTCCCAGAGTCCTAGGATTACAGGCTTGCACCACTATGCCTGGCTAAATTTCGCGTCTTGATTGTGACAGTTGCAAAAAAATGTTTGCAACAAAGGAGAGCAGAAACACACACACACACACACACACACACGTGCTTGTGACACATGGTAAAATCTGAATAAAATCTGAGTCAGTCCCACCACCGCGATGTCAATGCCCTGGCTGTGACAACATACCATTACATCTATTCATTTCAAAATTAAAAAGTTAAAACCAACTTCTCCATGGTAGAGGTAACTTAATTCACAGAAGGCTTTGGAAGATGTCTGCCCTAGAAATCACAGCATAGAGTGTCCACTGGGTGTGTGAGAGCAGGGAACAGCCCACTCCGGTTGTCTGCTTAAATATTTATGGCATGAGCAAGGGAACCAGGAATGAGAGGGGGCTCCTGCTACCTTCCCAAACCCTAGCGATGAATAAGCAAGGCCCAAGGTGACGCTCCTTGTTACAGACCAGGCCTACACCTGGTACCACTGTCAAAGCAGCCTCAGGACATGAGAAATGTCATTTGCCTCATTTGCCAGAAGAGCAAACTTCTACGCCTTGGTGGAGGGACACTCTGGGACCGCCGAAGTTACCTGGGTAGGGCACCAGGCCATTGGCGTACACGGTCTCCAGGGCAGGGTGCCCGCCTGGGAAGGGCACGACACCAGCGAAGCCATTGGTGATGGGCGCCACCAGGCCGGGCACGGTGGCGGTGCCGAGCAGTGGGGGCGAGTGCAGCCCTGTGGAGGGGTAGGGGTCAGGCAAGCCTGGGCCACCGCCCGGGGCCCACCCAGCCGTCCCTAGGCCCCGGCAGCCACTCACCAGAGGCAGGAGCGATGGGCGTGGCGGGCAGCCCGTTAAGGCTGACGGCGCCAATTTGCTGGATGTGGCAGGGAGAGAAGGCCACGCCTGGGCTCAGGTAGCTGCCTGAGGTGGACAGGACCGTCGTCTGCTGCTGCATGAGCTGGGAGAGGAGAGGGCCTCTGTGGGTGCCGTCTGCCCTGAGGTCACAGCTCAAAGGCCGTGGGTCCCCAGGAACGGGAGGTGGGGGGGAGAGTCACACTGGTTATCCTAGCAAAGGCTGGAATTGGGGCTGAGTTAGAAATTGAGGTGCAGCCGGGCATGGTGGCTCATGCCTATAATCCCAGCACTCGGGAGGCTGAGGCAGGAGGATCGCTGTGAGTTCGAGACCAGCCTGGGCTCCATAGTGAGTTCCAGGTCAGTCTCAACTACATAGTGAGACCCTGTCTCAAAAAACCAAAAGAAAAAAAGAAATTGAGGCGCAATCTAGGATCAGGGCTCAGTTAGGACTTTGGAGCTCAGCCTGGGCTCAGGACTCAGGATAGGTTTAGGGGTCCATTAGAAACTGAGGTTCAGCTTGGGATCAAGGCTCAGTCAGGAACCAGAGCCTGTCCTGAGATGACAGTCTAAATTTAGGGCTCAGTTAGAAATTGAAGTTCAACATGGACCAGGTCTTAGCTAGGTCAGATCTCAATTTGGGGTCAGCCTGGCTTTGGAGGTTCAGCCCAGAATCTAAATTGGAGGACAGCTGACATCAGAGTTCAGACCAAGCTTGAGTCTTAATTTGAGACTAGGGTTCAGAATACAGTCAGGGATTAGGGGCTCAGTCTGAGTCTAGTCCCTGTTCGGGGTTGGGGTTCAACCTGGATTTGGTGGCTGAGCCTAAGATTGTGCCTTCCTGAGCTAGAGCCGCAGCCTGAGTTGGGGGGGCCCTGCCACAGCCAGGACGGGGTCCTGAGACAGACAGGACAAGAGGCAGGAAAACAGCAAAGGCACTCGACAGGGCACAGACGAGGCGGGACGAGGCGGGTCCCCAGCGCAGCCGCGGGAGCCCCGTGCCCACTGGCCTGTACGGGGTCACTCACAGCCTGGGCGTAGGCACTGTAGGGGCTGAAGGGCAAGGCGAGGGACGGCGTGAGGATGCCCAGCTGGCCCACCATCTGCTGCATGCGCCGGAGGGTGCGCTCCTTGTCTGTGTCCGCGAACTTCACCACCAGGCTGGAAGAGGCTCCCTGCGGGGCGGCGGGAGGCCCGGATAGGATAGAGGGTGGGAGGGAGCCAGGACTCCGGGGTACCCGCAGCCTGCCAGAGGGGGACCTGGAGAGCTGTGCAGGAGCGGGGGCCACAGTGGGATGGGGTGGAGCTCAGCTCCCTGGGCTGGCAGGTGACAGGCGGCCCCCGCCCCGCAGGTGCGCACGTGGTGGTCAACTCCCCGACGCTGGGGCTCGAGGAGAGGGACGTCTTTGCCTTCAGCCAGATCCGTCCCAACGCAGCCTGCAGCCTGTCTTCGCCGCCCCGCCCCTTTGGACAGGGAGCTCGCTCCCGGCAGAGCCACACTATGTGTGACCACCGTGGCCCTTGGGGCCCCTTCCTCGGGGGACACCTCGAGACCCTCGAAGCCTCGCGCTACTGCAGACCTCTGAGGTTGCCTCACAGCCCACCATTCCCACCCGTGGTGTCCTTGCTGACCTGTCCTCCTCTCTGGCCCCCAGCCTGTCTTGGACCCTGCCTCTCCCCTGCTTCTACCCTAAGGAGTATTTGCAAGTGGCCTCCAGGCGTGCTCATACGCACACTAACACGTTCACACATCAACACTCACGTGCCCCGGCGTGAGTACTGACGAGCTAGCACACACGTGCTCACACACGCACACACTCACCACAGCCAGGGGCTGCACCCTTCTGGAGAGGAGCCAGGAGCTACGGGCCCCCTCACTCTGCCCCACACCCCGCACACTGTGGCCGGGGAGGCTCCCACTCACCGGCATGGTCTGGCTGCCGTTCAGGGCGTGGATGGCGGCCTGGGCCTCCGTGTGGGAGGAGAATTTGACAAAGGCACAGCCTGCATGGAGAGGCGGAGAGGAGGTGAGAGAGGGGTTCAAAGGGCAAGAAGGGGACAGGGTGACCGGACACACAAAACCGGGATGCTGGACAGCTGGGCACCGAGAGCACCGCTGGACAGCCAGACAGACCTAGGGCCAGCCAGAGTCGGGGTCAGCACGGCCACTTCCGGCTGGCCACCCTGCCAGGGGGCGCCCAGATGGCCACACAGGGCAACCTCAGGCCGACAGACAACCAGAGACCGCCAGACACAGACAAGTTCCACGGGACAGCTGGGAGGACAGCGGCCGCAGGGCACGGCCCACCAGCCAGCTCCGGTGTCCTGTGGCACAGCCAGGCCGCCATGGTGGTAGCAGAATGTTCTGGAATTAGCGGTGATGATCGTGCGACCTACTGAAGAGCAACCCTTTGTAGACTGAGACAGGGTGAACTTCAGGGTGTGTGGATTAGGCACGAAAGAGTCCGGCCCAGGCTGGGCATGGTGGTGCATGACTGCAACCCCAGCACCTGGGAGGCTGAGGCACGAGGGTCGCTGTGAGTGCGAGGCCAGCCTGGACCTGTTAGTGAGTTCAAGGAGGCCTGTACTACAAATGAAACCCTGTCTCGAAAAACCAAACCAAAACAAAGGTAAAGTCCAGCCCACAGAGGCCACCGGACCCAGGAAGTCCTAGGTAAGACTAGGGCAGAGGCAGGAGGAGTGAAGCAGACAGGTTGCAGGACATAGGAAGACCCAGACAGGACACTCAGAGATGGACTCTGGCAGGTTCAGACGACAGTGGTTCCTGTCAGAGCCAGGTAGACAAATAATCATGGATCCTCAAAGGATACGGGGCACCCAGGGGCCATCAGGTCTGTGCCCTGCCTACAAGCCCTGCTCCTGGTGGCTCAGACCCCCCCGCCCGCTTCACCTGGGCCACGCCCCAGACAGCCCTCCCCGCAGACCAGGCCCACCCTTCAGCCACGCCCCCAGTCAGGCCCACACCTAGGGTCCCTTGCATCCTGGCCCCGCCCCCGTACAGGCCCCGCCCCCGCTTGTCACCTTTGCTGCTGCCGTCAGGCCCCCTAAGCACAGTGCACTCGTCTATGACCCCGAAGGGCTGGAACAGCCGCAGCACATCCTCCTCCGACTGCTGCTTGTTCAGCATCCCCACAAACAGCTTCCGGTCCCCTGTGGGAGGAGACACCACCTCAGCCGAGTCCCTGGTCTCTGGGATCGCTCTGTCCCTCCCTGTCCCGCGCATGTGAGGAGGGGCACGGCCACAGCGAGGAAGACCACCTCCCCGTGCGTCCCCAGCTCTGTCCCTCGGTCTCTGCACAGCTCCCTGGTAATCAGGAAGGTGGCAGCTTCATCTCCCAAGGATGGCAAGCTGGGTTACTATAGAAACTGTCCGGGACAGCTGTCACTCACTCGTGAGGGGCGGGAGGGAGAGAGGAAGGGAAGCAGAGCCAATGAACGCAGGGGAAAGAGACCCGTGGTGGGGCAGAGACAGAGAGGAGAGAAGGAATCAGAAACAGCAAGCAAAGAAAAGAGCCGAATGTGGGAGGAAAGGAAAGGGAATCGCAGCACAGACCCATTTCCCTGCTCCCTGTGCGACAATGGTGACCAGAAGGGAGAATGCGAAAGTGTTTCCTAACCCAGATGAGCTTTGCCGGGCTCCTACACATACACAGGAGTCCTAACAGTCCTGCCCATACCTCTCCTACCCCCACATCTGGCCGCTCCTTCTTCAGCTCCTCTACCCCCAAGATGGAGAGAGAATGTGAAAATGTGCAAGAATGAGCGGCCCTCGATCCCACCGAAGACAGCTGAGTGGGTCCCCCCTACACACACCTTCACGGGCACGCCCCACACTGAGGTCCGGGTCCAGGCGGACCCCACAGCCCACCCTCGACGGCCCACCGCCAAGCACGCATGCGCGAGTGCGCACCCC